AAAACATATTAAATAAAAGTAAAAACCGAAAAAAAAAAATATGAAAAAATTGAAATTAAGGAAAGGCAAAAAATAATTATTTATAAAGGCTGTAATTTTAAGTAAACAATTAAATTACGATACTTAAAAAGGAAAATTAATAATGAAAAAAACAAAAAAAAAAACGAAAAAACACATTTCACCCACGACATGAAGAATTATATTAACTAAATGCTAAATACTATACAAAACTAAGTACGATCGATATCTAAAAGGAAATTATAAAATCTAAACGTAAAGGCAACACATTCAAGACACACACACACACACACACACACACACACACACACACACACACACACACACACACACACACACACACACACAACTTACCTAAAGATAAATACATAAATACATTCAAAATCAGACAGAAAAAGAAAAACAACATAAATCAAGAAATCCCACAAACATAAATAAATGATATATATATATGAGAGAACTCAATGTATGTAATAATTATAAAACTAAATACAAATACATAAATAATTAAAAGGGATTTAAGTGAGCTCTATTCGATATTTACCAGGAATTCAACATGTCAAAAGTCGAACTTAATTTATCTTTTATTTTAATTTTGTTCTGCCAACATCAAATATATATATATATATATATATATATTCTATTCTAGAAGCTAGATGTCAAGTTTGTTGACTCTAGCTCTTATTATTTACCAAAATTGCCCAAAAAACAGGATATCGATATCGATTTTTATCGATTGCTTGGAAACTGAGTAACTTATCGATTATCGGAAGCAAACTCAATCTGCGCAGGCACCAGGACCTACATCTAAAATTTCAAGTCTCTAGGTCTTATAGGTTCTGAGAACCTTGCCGCGCAGTTATGTCGTTTTGGAACGTCATATCTCCAGGCGAAGCTATGTCGTTTTGGAACGTCAGTTTGGGGACTCTAGCTCTTATTATTTACCAAAATTGCCCAAAAAACAGGATATCGATATCGATTTTTATCGATTGCTTGGAAACGGAGCAAGTTATCGATTATCGGAAGCAAACTCAATCTGCGCAGGCACCAGGAGGACCTACATCTAAAATTTCAAGTCTCTAGGTCTTATAGGTTCTGAGAACCTTGCCGCGCGGAGTTATGTTGTTTTGGAACGTCATATCTCCAGGGGAAGTTATGTCGTTTTGGAACGTCATATCTCCAGGCGAAGCTATGTCGTTTTGGAACGTCATATCTCCAGGGGAAGTTATGTCGTTTTGGAACGTCATATCTCCAGGGGAAGCTATGTCGTTTTGGAACGTCATATCTCCAGGCGGAGGTATGTTGTTTTGGAAAGTCATATCTCCAGGCGGAGTTATGTCGTTTTGGAACGTCAGTTTGGTGACTCTAGCTCTTATTATTTACCAAAATTGCCCAAAAAACAGGATATCGATATCGATTTTTATCGATTGCTTGGAAACGGAGCAAGTTATCGATTATCGGAAACAAACTCTATCTGCGCGGGAACTAGGAACACCTGCATCCAAGTCTCTAGGTCTTATAGGTTCTGAGATCCTTGCGTTCATACATACGGACGAACGGACGGATCGACTCGGCTATTGATGCTGATCAAGAATATATATACTTTATGGGGTCGGCATCAAATAGCCGAGTCGATCTATCGATGTCCGTCTGCCTGTCCGTCCTTCCATCTCCCCGTCCGTTCGTATATATGAGCTCGTCGATCTCACAACCTATAAGTAAGAGTTACACACTGGAAATTTGGAATGTAGGTCCTTCTAATGCTCGCTCAATATGACTTACTTTCCGATAACCGATAACTTGCCCGTGTCCAAGCAATCGTTAAGAAAATCGATAGCGAAATTCTGCCTTTCGATCAAATGTCTTAGGTTTTCATGGCTAGAGTCGCCATATTCCACACTCTGCTTCTTAAATAGTATATCCAATCTAATATCTTTTATTTTCTAGCTTCAACAGCTTTGATTTGTGAGCAAGCCTTTAGTATTTCAATACAGTACGAGAATTACGAACCTAACTACTTTGCTCAACTCAATAGCCGTAAGAAATATACCCAAACGGGCAGTTAACACAGTTTTCACTTATTTCCCACCCGCTTTCAACATATCAATTCACTGTGAAATAAGAAAAACTTTTTGTTTACATTTTTATTTAAGTTCAAGTTCAAATCACACAGCCTATCTAACTGTGTCAGATCCATTGATTTCGACCCGATCGTGGCATGCTCTCATGTCATGCCCAGAGCCCAATACGATGACGCATAGGCGTGAGAGCCCCTATCAGCAGTACCTAGCCCCGATTTTCATTAGGTAATGCAAACAAAAGTTTTTCTTTTTGTTCTTGGTTTTATTTTGTTTTTGGGTTTTTAATGTGAGGGCATCGCCTCACGGCAGCTCAACTTTGGTGGTTACAATAAATACAACTAAGAATCTATATATATATATATATACGATTATGCTTAAATATAGGAACTACATTATTTCAGGGGGGGGGGGGGGGGGGGCGTGGCAGCTGTGGCTACTCTTTGCTGATGAAGCTACGATTCGATCTCTGCATTCGAACGCTCTGCGGCGCCTTTTGACTGCGATCAAATTCACAGGTCTTGTTGGTCTTCAGCATGCGGGAATCGGGTCCGGCGGAGGTTCTCCAATAGACCGTCTGTACGGCATTACGTCCGGCTATGAAGCGCGATGTGGAGCCCACCAGATAATTGACTTTGTTAGCCGCCGACATTTTTGTGCTGGATTTGTTGTAAGTACTTGGAGTAGCTATCACAGTTGGGTTGCGTTCACTATAGAGCGGGCTCTATAGGGATTTTTGGTATTTTCTTGGTATTTTTTGCGGTATTTTTGCTTAGAGCATTTGGCGCGTTTGACTAACGAATCGTTTCTGTTGAGCTGATTGCCAGCAGCAGCTGCTTTTATAGCTCGACTTCTTATCGCCATTGTTGGATTTGTGTCTAGTCCGGTTATCGCTTCTAAGTTGACTATTATTTTCTTTTTTGTTGCTTTGATGATGGCTATATTAATTGATTAGTTTATGGATTGGAACGCGTGCAACTGCGACACAGTTTTGTTTATATTTTGCCTCAATGAACACAGGTGCCTGTTGCACTGCTGCAGACTTCCATGTGCGCAGCTCAAAGTGCAAAGTCGTCATCCTCTATACTATGTATTCAATTTCTATTTAAATATATATATTTATATATATATATGCACAGCGTCTATCAGCTTGAATGTATAGGGTATAGCTGACGTAAGCGTCGCACGGTTGACACAATTTACGCACAGCGACAATTCATGCGATTTGTCAATCGCCTAGTTAAAGCTGAGAGGAGGCTGTTTGACGCATTCATAGAGCTATCAATAAATCTATCTATCAACCTACCTATCACTAAATCTACAATCTAACAAGCCGTCTATCCATTAACTCAAGGCCCACCTGCAGCTACTTTCTATATACTGTTTATACCCCAAGACCCAGGCTAGTATTACGACAGTGACCCATCCCTTTACCGACCTATTACATCCTACAACTTGCAAGCGCCTATATGTAGACTAGGGCGCGTTTCAATCGACAGGTGTATATATGATATACATATATATAATGACTCAGAGTATACTGAAAATAGCTTTTAAGCCCAAGGACTAGAAGTCAAAAAGATATATACTAGGCTATTCTAAGATTCTCTATATTCTTTTGATAACTTTGATTCAGCTCCAACCAAGTCGGCGTAAACCAAGTCAATCGGTTCCAGGCGACGGCTGCTGAGTCGAATAATCAAAATCAAACAAGTTGTTTGGCAGCCGCAAATATTATTATAAACCAGGCGAACAGAAATGTAAAGCAGGTAGCTGCAAACCGAATAGTGTTGGGTAGCACTTAGAACCTGATCATTCGCGCTGGACAGCACTGAAAATGATCAAATTGGCGTTGAGCAGCACTGCAATTATTCTTAATGCAGCTACCTGCTGTTCATTTCTGTTCGCCTGGTGAACTAGATATTTTTGGGATCTTAGGTTTTTTGATGATTTAGCACAACAGCCGTTGGCACAGTGCGAGAAGTGCCGCAATTGTTTGCCGTGTTGGAAAATTGAAATCTATGCAAGCACAGCCTATTGCAATGCCAAGACCTTTAGCTTGAAGTGCATTTTATTCTTGATCCATGGAGACGCGGACCTGCTAAATTTGATTTCCCTGAAGCACATTGAGCTCAATACTTCTAATTAGAATGAAAGCACATTCAAGTGCACTCCACTGTTGCCCTAAGGACACATCCTATTGTTGACCTGAATCAGTCTAGAGAACCTCCTACAGAGCCCCCGATTTGCGCCAGCTGTTCGCAGCGTGCTCGAACCTTAGGAATATCTTGGTTGACAATATGTACACACATATATATATATATATATATATGTATCTGTACATGAGCCGTCAACGTGTGACGTTGTCTTTGTTTTTGTTTGCTTTTCCTTATCAACGAATGCATGCAAAAGGGGAGGGAACATCAGCAAGCTGCTTAGTCAATTTGCAAAAAAAATAGAAATAAAAAGCACACAACGTCGAGAAGTGCAATTGTAAAAAACTATAAAAAGCGTGCGCTCAAAAGGCTGAAGAGCAAACAATAATAGTAATAAAAAAATCATAATAATGCATTAATAAATAATAAGCAACAACAATTGCAGGCACTTTAAGTTCAAGGGTGGCCTCCCGCGCAACCCCTCGAAGGAATGGAATCGTATCTGTGTAGGGGTTCTGGGCCCTGGCTCCTGATAAGAGATAAGGGTCGGCACGTTGTCTCGCAGTGCTCTCGCACTGTGCAACCGATCGAAAAGAAACCAATCAAAATTTTGGGCAAAACTTTCCAGCCGCCGCTTGTTTACGAATCTTTAGCGGAAAGTGAACCTCCAATAATGCCCACTCATATTTTTTTTTGGGGGGGATGGACTGATAAGCGCACCGAGTCGGGGAACTTTGAAGCGGGCGCAACGCTCGCACTTTTACTAACAGCCCAAAACAGAGTGTATAAAAGAAATTATCAAGAAAAAGTCAAAAAACAAGCATAAAACTCGCCAGACTACGGTCAACAATCGCGTGTTCCATCCACGATAAGATATATTTCGCCCGGATCCGAATCTAACCCAAAACTTGCCAACATTTCTGATAAGATCGGCTAAGGGGAAAGTTTTGCATCTGTTGCCATGGCCAATAATCGTATATACTATTTGTATCTTAGTAAACAAATGAAAGACGCGAGAGTGACTGACTGCGCGATACCCTGCACTCAAAGCCGAGTTGCCGTATTCTGCAATAATACCAACTTATTTGAATGCAGGCAGATTAAAAGATTGTTTATTATATAATTCTGATTGATTCTTATATAACTGTTGCTGTATTTATTGATCGAAAGTTATTTCAATTTGTGTTCACAAATATGACATTTATTCACAAACAAAAACTCAAGGGGCTTACCTCAAAAAATATATTATTAATCCTCACTGCAGCTGGAAAAAGGTATACAAAACTTCGAGTATACTTGAGGTATACAAAAATCTGAAAATTTTGGTCTTACTAGCTTGATTAATCTCAGAGATTAAACTTATCGATAAACGCAAATAAGTTATCGATAAATTTTTAATAATTCTCCTCTAGAATAGTCGTTATTGTAACTGATATCGACAAAAGGATATAGAAGAGATATATATGTGATTGAGACAATAAGTTCTACTCTGCCTGTTGCATACATTTTCTTAGCAGCAATATACCCCGTGTCTTCAATGAATACTGGGTATAAGAACTGTGCTAAGCACGCGGTTCGCATCTCAGATTGTAGTCCCAGTCTCAGCTAAAAAACATAGAAAAATAATATAAATAATATTCTGATTAATGTGAACTGTTCTATTCGAAATTGCGTTGCCTACTTTTTGGCCAGCGTGGGAATTAATTATCAACAGAATACAACTTAGAAACAATGTTGATAATTGAATTAAAAGCGCATTTAACGCCTACATGTATCTAGCCTAAGCCAAGACAGTCGGAGGCGTGGAGGGGAGAGCAGAGCAGGGAGGGAGGAGTAGGAGGGATTGGGCATATAACTAATTGAGTTTAATTGACGAGACAAAAGCAATTAAGGCACCGAATCTAAGGAATTGGTTAGACAAGCTGCAACTAGATTCCGTATTGCCCGAGAGTTAAATGCTTAACTAAGTCGATTATGCATAAATTAAGCATAGAGTATGGCTGGATTGCGATTCCTTTGCTGTGCAACTCACTGACGACGCCCCCAGGCGGCGAGTAGCGGCAACAAGAGCAGCGCGACGAGGCCAACGCCCACACGTCCGGTCCCGTTGCAGACCTTGCGTATGGTCTCCGTGTAGAGTCCACGGCGGGAGAGCATGCTCCGTATGCTGCGCAGCTCCTAGAGATGGATGGGAAGCGAAGCGAGTGGTGAGTAAATATTAACAAGAAGTGATAACGTAACGACTGCACAATACTTTGTTTACAGTATAATGAGTGGCATAATATAGGTGGGAATGGCTCTTGAGCACGTGACTCTAAAACTGTTAGCCCAAAGACAGTGGCTGTCAAACTGACAGCTTGGACAATAAAGAAGGCAGAGAGGAGAACTTCAATTAGGGCCATGCCTAACCTTTCCGCCCCATTTGATATATCTTGTTGTGACTCTAAAACTGTGGCACATAAATTAATCTTTGGGTAGATCATGACAAAAGGTGTCCGTGGGCGTGTTCGGCTTATTTGAAGATCCCAAATTGCGGATCACTTAGAGAGAAGTTAAGAAGCTTGGCTTCAGACAGACAGACACAAAACCAATATAGCCACTTTTCCACTTGTAAACAGAGTATGCCAGGCATACTGATGCTCACATCGTTGCTGAGGCCCAGGCGATTGCGTGTGAGCACAACTGTATAAATGGAGCTCTTGATATCGTTGCCGCAGAAGGTCAACACCAGGTGATCGTTGACCGCTTTTACCACCTGGACGGTGCCCGTGAACTGTGTATAGCTGTTGCGTGTGACCAGAGAGCCGCGCTGATCCCCAATATTGGACCACTGGCCGGGCGCATCTGTCGTATAGTTGAACGTATATTCCAGATTGTTGTCACGCTCGCTCCACACCAGACGCAGATATCCTGCCCGGTGCGCATTCTGCGGCTGACGCACATACTCATCGTTGTCCGCATATTGCGACGTGGTCGAGATGTGCCTATAATTGTTTTGATTCTGATTCTGATTTCGATTGTTGTAGTTGCGGTAATTGTTGTTGTTGTTGTCGTTGTAGAGTCGACTATTGTGCATCTGAAAGCAAAGAAAATTCTCAAAATGAAACATAAATCTCTTAATGTTCTCGGACTCGGACTCACCTGCTGCGTCACATCGGTCAGGTGAATTATAACGCACGAATCGTATTCGTAGACGCCCGGAAAATCTTGACTATGCATTATGATCTCGCTGCCATACCACAGGCCCATTATCTGTATAATCAAGTTTATATATTATTTTCATATATGCAAAGAAACTCTTCTAAAACAAACAATTCAGCGACACGTCGCAGTTTAAATACCCTTTAACGAATATGTGAGCCGAGTAGTAAGGCTCGGAGAAGTTCGTTGAAGACATCTTGAAAGGCTGAACACTTTCATATACAAAAATTAATTTTTTACTCTTTCTTCCTACAGATCTATATCTTATAGTAATCCCATATAGTTTAGATATGTCTCATATATGGGGAGCACAATGAACAAACGAGATTTACAAACTAACTTCGACCAATCCTTATGACAGCTATATGATATTACGATCCGATTCGGACGTCTCCGGTCTGCAGGAGTAAGGCGAACCCTTTGCAAAGCTTCATGATGGAAGATTTTGAAGCGAGTGATTCGTTTGCACAGACAGTCCACTAAAACTAGCTTGTTCTACTAGGCGTTACACATTTGCTGAGCAAATTAAAGCAACCTTTGAAAGGGTATTAAAAACTTCAAATACTTGTGCAAGTGCTTTGACAACCCTTGCGCAGGTGTCGCTTCTAGGAAAAACCACCCAACACCCAACACCCTATACTTACGGTTGGCAATTCCCATTCTTCCAGTTCTACTCCAACTGCCTTTTGCTGCGTGCATATAGGTTTTACAATAATTCAATTATAATTGAAAAAGTTAAAGTAATGTAGATATAGATGCAAGCGCATATAATATATATGTGAATACATGCCGCTCGACAAATTCGATTTGCATGCGCGTCACATACTCGGACTGCCTCAATTATTAGCCCGCATGCAGAAGGTCTGACGTACGGACGGACGGACGGGCTGACTAAACGACTCACTCACTGATCGACTGGCTGAGTGCCTGGGAAGACGACCCGACGTTGACATATGCCCCTTTAGTCAAAGGGGTTAATTAGCACAAATCAGCCCTAATTGGATTAGTTATCAACAAAAGTTCGAGCCGGAAATTCCAAGTTTCTCTTTACGGTTGGTTGCTTTTAAGGTTTTTTATTATGAAAATCACCTTAAGAATTAAGCAAATATGTTAATACACAGAAAGGATTCGAAATAAAATGAACGAAATGGAGAAAAAGTTTCAGGATCGAAAACGTGGGTTCGAAAAAAAACCCTACAAGAGACCATTTTTATTTGAATACGTTGAGTACTGCGTTCAGTACTGCCAACTCACCTGTTGCAAATCCACCGAATGCTGTGGATTGACATTAATGCAACGCATCGCCGCATTAATACGTTCAGTGCTGGTGGAGCCATCCATTGATCCAAAGACATTATGATCTAAATTGTTTCCTGCGCAGTGTGACCAGCACACGCTAAAGATCACAAAATATGCAAATTTCATAAGCATGGTAACTCGCGGGCTATCACTGTATGTGTGCGGGAGCTGTTGATAAGGCTTGAGCCGCTGCTGCAGACAACGAGCGAACTGCGCTTAACGAAATGCCGGAATCAACTGACAGCTAAAACGAGCGAAGGCAAAGCTACAGCCAGCCGAAGGAGAGGGAGAGAGATTGAACGAAAGAGAGCAGAGCAATTGCATGAGTATTGGTGAAAGGTGACAAAGAAGGAAGCGACAGGGGACGGCAGCTGTAAGTGCACTCTTTCGTTCAGTTTGTTGCGTAGCTCGCGCTGATCATTAGTTAATTAAGTTAATTGTTGAGCTTTTGCTGAGCCGCTCGCACCCGCACAATGCGAATGAGCCAAGCGGCACGCCCACCCTAACCCCTTTGCCTACGACTAGTAGTGTCAATTGAGCTGTGTGTGTGTGTGTAAGTGTGAGTGTATGTACGCTTGAGCTGACCATTCAATTGCTTGAGCCACAAAACTGAGCACATTTTTAGAAAGATGAAGCTTTAGCTTGGCAATGGTTGTGCAGAGACGGAGGAGGGAGCGGGGTGTGTTCGGGATGAGTCAACATGTGAATTAAATTTACTCAGCATCGTTTTCGTTGTTATTGTTGTGCGTTTTATTAGCATTGATTATGTGCTTAATCTACGTGCCTACCCCCCTGCCCCACCCCTTGGATATAAATAACAAGAATCGTACAATGTTTATAGCCTACATATAGGTGCTGCCATAAATATAAGTAGCTTGTGGCAGCGTTGGGGCGAGCACTTGTTGGGGGGGGGGGGGGCCCAAATATATAAATCGTGTGATTTATTTAGAAGCGCAGCATACTCTGGTTGATCTTCTCGTAGATCCAATCGATATAGTGACAGACGCGCACATAGACGCCAGGTCGGTTCTGATAGCCGCAGTGCTGTCCCCAGGATATGATGCCATAAAGTGTTTCGCCATCTGCAAAGGAGCACAAGATTAATAAAGTCCTGAAAGCCTTATAGGCTCCACACTACTCACCCTCATCCGAGCAGACAAGCGGGCCGCCAGAGTCGCCCTCGCAGGCATCGACGCTTTCGTCCATGGAGCCGGCGCAGAACATGCCTAATTGGAGCAGAAATAGAAGAAGTTTGAAACTGATAACATTTTGGATTGGATTGGATGTATACATTTGGCAAAGGGTACAATAATTTCGTCACGAAATTTGCTACTCATAGAAGTACAAAATTCGGATCCCATAAAGAATATATATTCTTGATCAATAGAGGCATATTTTTCAGCAAATGCATATATAGATTCTCTACAAATCTTATAATAGGAAGCTTATATGGAAAAAGTATATAATAATACAGGTATTTTGTACGAAGTCATATAAGTATTATATATGTTTATGTGTGTGTATATATGTATGTGTGTATGTATGTATGCGTGTGTGTGTGTGTGTGGACGTGTATGTATGTATGTATATGTGCATTATGTATATGTGTATGCGTGCATATCTGTTTTCTAATGCCAAACGCAGACATAGCTTATTTGTCGTTGTGCTGCAAATTTAAATAAAACGAATTTCTGCCAAGTGCTGTCCTCCTCGATTCTCAAAAATTAAAGTAGGCCCTGCATAAATTCACCAAGGCAGGAAACGTTGGCTCCAACGGCCTGGAGGAGCAGCTGCGGAGGAGGCGGTGGAGCAGGAGGCGGCGGCGCAGGAGGAGGTGGGCGGGTAAGTAGATATGTATGTAGGTAGATGTATGTATGTATGTAGGTAGATGTATGTATGTATGTAGGTAGATGTATGTATGTATGTAGGTAGATGTATGTATGTAGGTAGATGTATGTATGTAGGTGTATGTATGTATGTAGGTGTATGTATGTATGTATGTAGGTGTATGTATGTATGTATGTATGTATGTATGTATGTATGTATGTATGTATGTATGTATGTATGTATGTATGTATGTATGTATGTATGTATGTATGTATGTATGTATTTATGTATGTATGTATGTATGTATGTATGTATGTATGTATGTATGTATGTATGTATGTATGTATGTATGTATGTATGTATGTATGTATGTATGTATGTATGTATGTATGTATGTATGTATGTATGTATGTATGTATGTATGTATGTATGTATGTATGTATGTATGTATGTATGCATGCATGCATGCATGCATGCATGCATGCATGCACCTACCTTCGGTCATGGCATGCATGCATGTATGCATATATGCACCTACCTTCGGTCATGGCATCACCGTAGACATTCATTTGCTTGCAAGTCGCATCCGGCAAAATGGGCAGCTGAGCAGCTCTCAGTTCCTGGGAGGGAGCTGCAAACAAAGGCACCAGTTAGTAACCTAATGAAGACGCATTTCACGTTGTTTACTCACTGGACATGCCCGATTTGATGGAGCCCCAGCCGGAGATGGTGCAAGTGCGATTCTCAACCAGCGGCGCACCACGCTCAGGCAAACAAATTGGCTGCACGTAGTCGCTGAACTTAAGCGGTGCCTTGAGCACCACGACGGCAATGTCATTGTTCATGTGCGTGGGCTGCCGGAACTGCTCGTGCGTGTACCAGTTCTCAATGAAGGCATCCACCTCCGAGTGCTCCGCTATGTTGGCATAGTGATCGCCGACGCGCACAAAATAGGCGCCCTTTGGATGACCGTAGAGGCAATGGGCGGCGGTGAGCAGATGCCGCTTGGAGATGACCACAGCACCGCACCAGTGGCTGGAGATGCCGCCGCGTCCACGCGTGCGTATCGTAGCCTGCCACGGATGACGGCCACGACGCGCCACGCTGCCCTGCACCACACGCTGTTCCGGATGCGCAAACTCATCGGTCAGGTCGTCCTTGAAGATGCCACAGCGTCGCGGTGTGCGCAATGCCTTGCTCGATCTCTCCCAGAGGCCTATGTCGGAGAGACTAACTTGGGCGGCTTGGCCAACCGAGCTGTCCTTGTCCAATGCCTGTAGACGAGTTCGTTGCCGTGACTGCCGCGGTGGCGGTCCGGCGGTGCAGCGCAGACCCACATCCTCGGTGTGATTGCAGTTGTGCTCGCCCCAGTTCCAGTGCCGGCACATGTCTATGCTCGTCTCGTTGCCCTGGCATAGAACCTGATCCAGCCAGATGGGTCCGCTGCCCGGACCGAAAATGTTCTTTTCAATTTTCTAAAAGAAAGCAGAAAAAGTTAAGCTTCTCCGGTTATCGGTTGTTGTTGGTCAGTTGCCACTTACAGCTGCTCCATAGTAGCCCAGATTATTGCAGGCCACCTGCGCAGCTTTTATATTGAAGTCATCGTCGCAGACGGAGCCCCAAACGCCATGATACTTGACCTCCAGACGACCCTCGATCGGGCTGCGTCCGCCCTCCAGACGATACTCAATGGGCGCCTAAAAAAGTACGGATTAGTCTAAAGGTCCATAGCTAAAAAACCCGACACTACAAACCTTGCAGACGGCATCGCTCTCGTCTGACTTGTCCGCACAATCCTCGGTGTGATCGCAGACAAAGGCGGGCGGTATGCACTCCTTTGACGTCTGACACAACCAGAAATTGTTGGGACACTTTAGCACGGGCACCTTGCAGACCACGCCCACCACCTCATCAACACCACAGTTGTGCACACCCCAGCCCTTAAAGTCGCAATCCTTTAGCTTTGTCTCGTTGCCCCGACACTCGAGCTCATCCATGGCATAGTTGAAGTTCCGTTCGGGTGGCTCATAGTAGGAATTGCCACGCACCTCAGCAGCGCCCATCTTAAAGCCCAGCTCACGGCACACAACATCCGCATCGCGCAGTCCGAACTTGTCGTCGCAAACGTAGCCCCACTGGCCATTGACTGATCGGATAGAAAGAATTGCTATACACAGCCTACAGTTTGTCATTAAATCAAGTTGAACTCACCCTTGACCTCAATGCGTCCCATGTGCGGACTCTCGCCGCCCGTCAGGCGCACCTGATAGCCCAGATGATCGCACTGATGCTCATCTCTCCGATTGCCACAGTTGTTGACGCCATCGCAGACTTCGATTTTCTTCACACACTTGCCCCCGCCGCAATCAAACTCGCAGGGCTCATCAAAACCACTGCGAAAACGTATTTCTGGAGTACGTGACGTGGTGGCTTCCGCATTTGGATTGGGCAGAAAGTCAGGCTCTTCCCCAAAGTCTGGCTGCGGCTCTGGCTGCTCCCTTTGCTTTGGTTGTGGATGCTCCTCGTTTTTGGTGGAAAAAGGATTGGGTAGATTGGGATGGCTGCTATGGTAAAGACGGCTGTGCTCGTGAGGATGATGATGGTGGTGGTGGTGGGGGTGGTGTGGGTGGTGCTGGTGTTTGGCTTGGTGCTGGTCTTCCGGCTTATCGAACGGATCGGGCATATTTGGATGACGCTTGTGGAACTCACGACTGTGACCCCACGCATGCCAGTTGTTGGAATTTGAGTTTGGATAGGATTGCGTACTGCTATCGGTGTCCACTCTACGTGTGCCCCGTTGGAAGTCAGTCGTGTCATAGCCGGATGCGTACGTCGTTGGATTTAGGGTTTGCTCAGTGCGCGCCGTTTCACCCGCATCTGGAACAACAGAGTCATCGTCAGCAATGTCCAAGCTTTCCTGTTCGCCCGCCACAATCAGTTCAACCTCATCGTCGGGCGTCTGTCTGCCCCGATGGGGTTCTTTGATCGTCGTGGTCGTGGTCGGGATGGGAGTCGTGCTAGTCGGTGGCTTACTAATAGCGGACGCAATGGCGGATTCGGCCCGCTCGGCTAGTGCTTCCTGCGCATTGCCGCTGTGATTGAAATAGGGCCGCAGCATCAAACGCAACGCCTCACCGAGAGCTACCTTGGAGGGTGTCTCTGCCGCGGGAGCAGCTCCTTGTGGTGGATTGTAAAACTGATGGTTGAAGGGCGGTGGCCTCAAGCCGATTCTTTCTGTGGTGGTCGTCTCCGAATCACCATAATCGGCTTCATCATAATCTCCCCTGTCCATAAAAGGATCAGGTTCGCGGGCACGAGGTGGCACCTTCTGCCAGGAAGCATTCTGCGAATGCGCAACTGCCGCATAGGGCGGACTATAGTGTGGGTGATTGGCTGGATTAGCAGGTGTGGCATTGAACACACGTGGATAAATCGGGAATGTGCGGAGGTTCGAAGGCGTCGAGCTGGTGGTGGGAGTTGTTGTAGTCTCGGCCAGAGATGGGCGGGAGGGTGGCTGCAACCCACCATACAAATTTGATTCATTAGCCACAGGATGGGGCTGACCCCGATAAGTGGGACTGTGATTGGCAGGCACAGAGGGAACGGGCGCAGGTGCTTGACCGAAAGTAGGATAAGGCTGATCTACAGTTGCTTGGGTATCCACATCGGGATTATAGTCGTCCAGGTCAAGTGGTCGCTGTCTTGGTAGGGCACGGGCAGGGGGATTGGATTGTGGGTGAATTGGAGTAAAGCCAGAGGGCTGAGCTGGAGGTGTAGGCGGTTGCAGACCACCATACAAATTTGATTCAACCGCTGGCGGATAAGACTGACCATGAAAAGTGGGCTTATGATTAGTGGGCACAGAGGGATAAGGAGAATGCTCGCGAGGCTGTTGATGCGATCCGCTTGGCAGCTGATCTCTAGGCCCTTCAGCATGTCCATCGGGTTGGTAGTCAAGATCTAAGGGCTGCTGTCCTGGTAGACTAGCCTGAGGGTAGCTGCTCTGAGGATTGTATGGTGTACGCGCCGTATGCCAGTCATTTGTCTGGGAGCGACTGAAATTCTGACGCGACGAGTGGACAGTCTCCACGGGCTGAGCATAGTAAACATTGCTTGTGGTGGGCGCCATGGGCGCCAGTGGCGTTTTATATACTGAATTTGTGGTAGTGGGTTGATAGTTACGATTCGGCAGCAGTGAGCCCTCCACATAGAGCACGCTCTGTGTGGGCGCCTGTCGATTGTAGGAGCTTCCCTGGCCCGACCAGCCGTTAGCGAGTGTCTGCTGTGTATCCTGCCCAAAGCCAATGCCCGACGGACGTTCCATATTCATGTCGCTCCAGCGACTTCCGCCACTGACAACGGTCGTTTTAATGCCCGATCCACTGCCGTACTGATCGGCACCACCGTAAACCGGTTGCACATACGCCTTTGGCTCGCGTGCGTCTGTAAGAATCAGGGATTATTCGTGAAATATGAAAAAAATATTGGGTAATGAATGTTAGTAACCATGACGCAGATCTATCCAACCATAGGAGTTCAGTGCTTGCTTTGACTGATAGTCACAGCGATCGTGTGTGGGCACCTGCGTGCCCGGCACACACAGACGCCGAGATACGCTGAAAACCTGACCAGCGGGACAATCGAGGAATACCGCCTCCGAGGTTTGGGCTGCACAGCTGATAAATTTGTGTGGCAACGTCGGATGCTGATAGTTGCCCGTCAAACCAAATGGACACCTGATCCCAACGCTAGCTCCCACATGCTGAAGCTGCTGCCACCACTCGTAAAATATCTGCAGCTCACTTAAACGGTAAACGCGATCGATGCGCTGCACTTGCTCCTGAGGTTGACATCTGCGCTGCGATAGGCTAAAGTGTTGACCATTGGGACAGCTCTGAAGGCGCGTAATGCCCGCCTCACAGCTCAAATACTGCGTACAGTCGAAGGGATATGCGTGATTGCCCACAGCCGCATGTGGACAACTTATAGCTGTAACGGGAGAAGATCATCAGGATTCCACTTTTTCTGACTTTTAACGGGCCAACTCACACTCCAACTGTTCTAGGCTGAGCTCCTCCGCACCGCTAAACAGGGAAACGCGATCTGCAGCCAGCACGAGTTCCGCTGACAGGCAATAGCCACGCGAGAGACTGAAAACTTCATTGGGCAGGCACTGCCTGATCGTTGTATGTCCCTCATCGCAATATAGGTAGCTTTTGGCATCAAAGGGATGTGCATAAAGGCCATAGACATGAACAGGGCAAGCCAAACGATAGGAGGGAACGGTGGTAGGATAAGTATTCGGATTGATGATAGACTGAGCACAATTCACTTGGGCGGCGTGATCGCAGTCGCCCCGTAATCTATTGAAAGCTGTACCGGGTTCACAATCCTGAACAAAGGTCTGGCCATTTGCGCAGTTTAGAAACTTGGTGCAGTCGTAAGGATGCGGTTGAAGTCCACCAGCACCAGATAGACATTCCACAACTCCGTTAACAGGCTGTAAATTGAACTGCGGCTCTCGACCCTCAGCCACCGGGTGTTCTTGGGAGAACTCATGCTGCGTCTCTGTTAGATACTCCACCCGATCGTACGCGGACACCAATTCATCCCTGGCCACGCAACGTCGTTGGGAGATGCTGAAGACCTCCCCCTTTTCACAGCTCTCAATGGAGGTCTGTTGATCGCGACAGTTTAAAAACTTGGTACAATCAAAGGGATGTAAATAGTATCCAACTGCATTTGCGGGACAGGTGACAGTGGTAAGGTCTAGCAAAAGGTCAGCTGGGGAGCGAAAAATACTAGGGGTCACTCAAATATTCAAATTCAGGTATAATCTTACTCGAGAGCTGAATATTTATATAGGCATAGTCCAAAAAGTCATGTGACGTGAGCTGCTGACGAGCCGCGCACCTGCGCGTGGATAGACTATAAACAGATCCCGCTGGGCAGGACTCCACCTGCAGCAAACCATTCTGACACAGCACAAAGTGACCGGCATGGAATGGATAGGCGTAGTTGCCACGCAGATTGGGGGGACAGGACTTTAGTCCAGACTGGAAGGCCTGACTATCCGTGTAACTGTAGTTGCCTCCTTGAAAGCTGAGCTCCGAAAAGAACTTGACGCGTTCCGCTCGGGTCACTTGTCTACGCGGTCGACACGCCCGTTGAGTAAAACTATATGCCATATCCTGTCCACAGCTTAAAATAGACATCCCTCCTCCAGCTTCGCAGCGAACATACTTCCCAGCATCGTAGGGGTAGAGATGAAGACCATCCGTGCCCGCCGGACAGCGGGTCAGCATCAGAGCTGAAGAGGGTACAGCTCAAAAGGTATGAAGACCGGATAATACGAGGTCACTTACAATATTCGTAGCTGATCTCGGAGACAATGTAAGTCACATAGTCGCTATACACAGATTGTGCCTTAAGCTGGCAATACCCTTTGGATATACTAAAGACGTGACCAGAAATACAGCTCTGGACAGCCACCTTGCCAGCCTTACAATTGAGGAACTTGGTTTGATCGAAGGGATGAACGAACAGGCCTTCGACGCCTCCAGGACAGAGTAGATCACTCAGCCGGGCGGTAGCTGAGAGGATTCGTTAGGATTACAAACTAAACAAGCAAAAAAACGAGCAACTGAAAGCGCATGAAAAGCAAAAGATGATACCAAAGACCCAAATGAGAAGCGAATGGAGTAAGCAAAAGAAAGCGCAGGCAGATATTAGTTCAACTTACAGGAGAAATCAGTTTGGGTAGAGAGGGCTCCCGTGGGAACACAAATCAAACTGTGGCTATCAAAGACCTCACCCGACTGGCATTGCTCAAGGCGGGGCTGTACACCAATTCCACATTTGACATACTTGTGAGGATCCTTGAAATACGGAAATAAGCCGCGAGCTCCTTCCGGGCAACTTGCTCCGTTAAACGATCCATTTACATCAACCGATGATCCACCTTGATGACCCGTAGCTGAGCCGCTAACATGACCGCTATAACCACTGTAAGTTATCTCGCCTTCGCCCGTATACGAACGTCCCTCGCCGCAGTCCACCTTATCCTTGAAGTCACAGACCAACAGAGATGCGCTAAAAGCTGTTCCAGGCCCACAGTCCTGAATAAAAGTCTGCCCATTAGCGCAATTCAGGAACTTTGTACAATCGTAGGGATGCTTGTGAAGGCCACTAGCGCCTGGAGGACACGTAGCTTCTTCTTGCAGATTTTGTGCCTTAGACTGCAACTGTCGACCCTCAGCCACCGGGTGTTCTTGGGAGAACTCATGCTGCGTCTCTGTTAGATACTCCACCCGATCGTACGCGGACACCAATTCATCCCTGGCCACGCAACGTCGTTGGGAGATGCTGAAGACCTCCCCCTTTTCACAGCTCTCAATGGAGGTCTGTTGATCGCGACAGTTTAAAAACTTGGTACAATCAAAGGGATGTAAATAGTATCCAACTGCATTTGCGGGACAGGTGACAGTGGTAAGGTCTAGCAAAAGGTCAGCTGGGGAGCGAAAAATACTAGGGGTCACTCAAATATTCAAATTCAGGTATAATCTTACTCGAGAGCTGAATATTTATATAGGCATAGTCCAAAAAGTCATGTGACGTGAGCTGCTGGCGAGCCGCGCACCTGCGCGTGGATAGACTATAAACAGATCCCGCTGGGCAGGACTCCACCTGCAACAAACCATTCTGACACAGCACAAAGTGACCGGCATGGAATGGATAGGCGTAGTTGCCACGCAGATTGGGGGGACAGGACTTTAGTCCAGACTGAAAGGCCTGACTATCCGTGTAACTGTAGCTGCCTCCTTGAAAGCTAAGCTCCGAAAAGAACTTGACGCGTTCCGCTCGAGTCACTTGTCTACGCGGTCGACACGCCCGTTGAGTAAAACTATATGCCATATCCTCTCCACAGCTCAAAATAGACATCCCTCCTCCAGCTTCGCAGCGAACATACTTCCCAGCATCGTAGGGGTAGAGATGAAGACCATCCGTGCCCGCCGGACAGCGGGTCAGCATCAGAGCTGAAGAGGGTACAGCTCAAAAGGTATGAAGACCGGATAATACGAGGTCACTTACAATATTCGTAGCTGATCTCGGAGACAATGTAAGTCACATAGTCGCTATACACAGATTGTGCCTTAAGCTGGCAATACCCTTTGGATATACTAAAGACGTGACCAGGAATACAGCTCTGGACAGCCACCTTGCCAGCCTTACAATTGAGGAATTTGGTTTGATCGAAGGGATGAACGAACAGGCCTTCGACGCCTCCAGGACAGAGTAGATCACTTAGCCGGGCGGTAGCTGAGAGGATTCGTTAGGATTACAAACTAAACAAGCAAAAAAACGAGCAACTGAAAGCGCATGAAAAGCAAAAGATGATACCAAAGACCCAAATGAGAAGCGAATGAAGTAAGCAAAAGAAAGCGCAGGCAGATATTAGTTCAACTTACAGGAGAAATCAGTTTGGGCAGCGAGGGCTCCAATGGGAATACAAATCAAACTGTGGCCATCGAAAATTTTACCCGATGGGCATTGCTCTAGACGCGGCTGCACACCAATTCCACAAATTACATATTTATAGGGGTCATTGGGGTAGGGAAATTGACCGCGAGCACCTTCTGGACAAGTGAGTCCACCAGAAGTGCCACCCGTTTGACCTAAGTTTGTGTTAGTTGATGATGTGTATTAAATGTAGGAGCCAGACGTACCTTGAGCTGATTCATCAACATTGAAGCGACCATCACCGCAATCCACCTTGTGCTTGTAGTCGCAAACCAACATGGATGGACTGAAGGCTGTGCCGGGTCCACAGTTCTGGATAAAGGTCTGTCCATTGGCGCAGTTCAGAAACTTGGTGCAGTCATAAGGATGCGGCTGCAGGCCGTTCAAGCCCGCTGCGCACTTGGGCTGTGTATTCAGCTGCTGCAATCGAGCCGAGCGACCGGCTTGACCCTCACAGGCTACTTGGGACAGGTGGTCACAAGTTCCAGTTAGGGCATTAAAAGCCGTGCCCGGTGAACAGGTTTGTATAGTGGATCGACCATTTGCGCAGCTGATGAAACGATGGCAATCGTGGGCATATGGCTTAAGTCCTCTAAACTGGGGCGGGCAGGCCGTATCCCGTTCATAGATTGGCTGCTCTTGAGCGTGGGCATTGTTGGAATGCGTCGATGCTGATAACCCGGACTGCGCCGACTGTCCATCAGAATAGCTGCCAGGTTGATAAGCGAGCGATTCGTGTAGCTGTCGAAGTCGCAATTGAGAACATTTTGTGTGTGATTATTATGGGTTTATATATATTGAATGGATCAATAGAAGAGAGACTTCCTGTTGAATATCAATTCGTATCAATTAAGTAATAAATCGTCATACTTACGGCCAGCACAAGGAGCGCCAGTCCAAGGCACAAAGCTCTCAAGATCATTTATATATATATATATTTTTTGATATATATATATAATTTATTTATATAGTATTTTTATTTTCACTCAAACTGATAGCGTTGGCCCGAAAAGTGATACGAGAGATGCGCGCGAATTTCAATTTTAGCTGCCTCTGTCGCTGAGCTTCAAAACTCGACTGAGGCGGCAGCCTCCGATTCTCCAACAATTCTCAAGCTCAATTGGGCTGCCGCTGCTGCAGATAGGCGGATGATGCTGCAGCGTAGCTCCAATTGAATGCCGCCTTATCGGTCGTGGCAATCTCTAGACCTTTTCGTTGTCGCTTATCATTTGTTTTGGTTCCACTTGTCATACCCTGTACCAATAGAAAATGCGTAGGAAAGGGTATCAGGTTGTGCAAACAGAAGCCAGCATCTACTTTCCTATAAAGAATATACATATTCTCAAGCTTTAAGAGCTAGATGTGCCATATTTGCTACACCAAATGCAGATTCATTTTATCTATAATTAAAAGTAATATATTTTTTACCAATCGGACTAAGGAAAGAAGAGGCACAGCAGCCGTCTTCAGTGCGCAGCTTGAAGCGTGGCTGTATAAAAGAAAATGGGAATCTATGTTGCGACAATTCTCATCTCAATACGGGGTATCTACTAGTCGTGCACTCAACTAGAGCACTATTAGTTGTTTACACTTATGTATGTTGTGGGGGGTTTCACACAATTTATTTCTAAGAACGATGATGAGTCGCCATGGATGATGTGATAATTTACAATGGGACAGTTTTGTGGATTTGTGTGGACTCAGCCTCATGGCAGGCTCTATTTACCTGACAGTTAAGCAAACTACTTACAACATAAGACTAGTGGCTTACTTGGTAGCCGGCTTATCATCAGGCGCCTCGTCCAAGAGTCGCGCGCGCTTTTGTATCTTAAGCCACAGCTGATCATACGGCTGCTCCAGCTCTGTTGGCGTTTTGGGTATGCCCACGGCGCGTCTCATTTCCGGCGAGAGCAGCAGCAGATTTTGCGCCAAACCAAAACTACTTGAGGCCACCCAATAGACGCACAGCGCCGACGGCACCGTGCAGGCCACAGGCACCATCAATACGCTGAGACCTCTGAAACAATTGTTGGCTATGCTCTGTAGACGTGTGGGCGCACGCGTGCGCGTCATGGTCTGCAGCTCAACGATGGCCAGATTGATGAGTCCCAGTGTGACGGGCAGAATATAGGAACTATCTACTACAGTAAGATTTGGTATCCAGCCTATGCCGCCAATTGTCAGCTCTGTGGCTATGATTTGTGCCTTCAGCGTTGTGGGATCCGGCAGCATATAAACCAAATTACGCAAGGCAACAGACTGGAATATCCACAACGGTATTTGACCCCAGAGCACAATGACCGTCTTCATGGGATGACAGTTATCACGCACTATTAGATTTTGCCATTGCTTCTTGATCTGCAAGGTACAAGTTTATGTTGGAGAATCTCAGAAAATGTGTATTGCACGCAAACAAACCGAACGCCTGTAGACAATTTGCGTTTGCTTGTCGCTCCACTTGAACTTTTGCTTGGCCATAGCCGCCTCGCGTTTCAGCTCCTCCACTATGGCCGGCATTTCGAGTGCAATCTGCTCGATTCGCGCCGTTATCTTGTGCTGGTATATAGTCAATGGCAACGTGACGACGCTGCGAAACAAAAACGTGGACAGCACAATAGCCGCCCACCACGGCAGTCCGCTGTAGTCATGTATTTGGGTCAGGGCATCCTGCATGTAAGCCACAGGTGTGCTGTTCGACAATGTCTGCCAGAAGCCGACCAGCCCGCCGGCACTGGCCAGCTGCGATGCTGCCGTTGCTGCTGCTGCGGCTTCTGTAGAGGCATGCCGGCGCTCATGCCAGCTGAGATTTGTGGCACCCGCACGTAGATAACCATATTTACAGATAGTGGTAATCTGGGATCGCCTGCAAGCGCCCAGAAGTAGTGACATTATACAAAAAACACAAGCCAAGCTGTTACCACATTATTTACAATGTGACCGTACGCAGGCTTTGCCGAAAATACCAACAAACTGTTATTTAACAGTCAATGCGCATGTTATGTGATGGAGGAATTAACAGTGCTGTATCTTAATTGGTCGATGTTGCGTCGCACCGTTCGGTCGCACAAAAGTAAAATTAACAAGTTCAATAAAGTAAAGACACGGATTTATTTGGGATTATATAGTTAAAGTTATGAATATACCCCAATGGCATACAATACCAGCGGTGGCACTAAATCAAATATTCGACTATCTCGATTCTCGAGACCGCAGAGCTGCGGCCAATTGTTGTTGGGCATGGAGGCATCATTTTTTTCAAAGACGGTAAGTCCAGCAGAATCCATTATGTACATATGCATGTGTATGTATATAAGCACAAGTGTATGTGTGTATATATCTATGCACGGCTATGTTTGTGGGGATTTTCGCTTTTGCGTCTCAAACAAACAAAGTGCTGCTGCTGCTGTGGGTGACGCACAGCTGTTCTCGCAGATGCCCATCGTCAGGGGCGGGTGTGTGTTTTTCTTTTTGGCAAGCCTTGAAAGACAACAAAGCATTTATTAATACGTGTAATAACAAAACAAAGCGCGGCCATACAAACACGCACACAGGCTCACAATGAAAATGTTGCTACACCAATACAAACACACACGCATACACGTAGCCAAACACACAGCTGATGTCGACGTCGCTGCCACAGTGATCGAGAAAAGTTATCGTATAGGTTTTCAAATAAAAAAAGTAAAAATTAGTGAGAAATTCAAAACAAAAATATATAATCGTTTATATAAAAGAATTGTAATAATCCAGTCAAAGTCCAAACTGACTATATACTTATTTCGTGCAGTGTTCATGACGTACAACGTGGAAACTGTATTTGTTAATAGTTGTTTTTTGTTATATTTCTACTTTCGCTGCGACAACAGCTATTTTAGAAACTTTCGCTTTCACATTGACGTGGCCCAGGATGACCAATTGACGTTCTTTCATCACAGCATGGCCAATCTGGCCAAGGAGCTGGTCATAGTCTTCGATTTTCACAATGCCTTTCATATACAAAAAATGCGGCGGCTGCTCTACAAGTAAGTGCAAACCCATATACATCATATTTAACCGGAGATAATATGCTAATTGCTTTCCCTAGAGCGGCGCGCTGTGATAATATTCGGGCCTTGCGTTTCCAAACCAACAATGTGGGTCTTGTGGCTGCCGGGAGTATGCACAGCGAACATCTGGTTGCCATAGAACAGTAGGAGAAATAAGTAAACTACTTAACTATCCTTGCTGAACCTTTATTTACCATTTCAGGTGCTTTGTGGAGCCACTGAAGTTGATATTAGGCCGCAAGAATCAGGCGTGTCAGGTATTGGATCTGGGTGCCATTGAAGCGCTTACCTATTATGGTCAGGACTTTCTCAAGGCCATGGGCAAGCCGCAGGAGCTGCTGCAGTTGACGCTGTCCAGCATTAAATACGATCCTAGTCACTATCCCATACTCGGGCTGGACACCACGCTGCTGCAAAAATGTGCCGCACTGCAAGTGCTTTCGCTGGACTACGACACGCTCAACGATGAGCTACTGCACACCATACAGGTGCTGCCGCTGCGTAAACTGATCATTGTGGTGCACGGCCTCGATCAGGAGGAGCATGCAGATGTCTCGGAGGCCGCTTGGTCCAACTTTTCGACGCATTTCACGGACATTGAACTGGTGCTGACGCTCGTCTATGCCTATGAGGCTGTTGAGCAATTGGAATTGCGTATTCTGCGCCGCCACATGCCCGTCACGCACATCCGCATGCTCTTCTGTGAGTTCATGAACGAAGAGGCGCTCGACTGGATCTCGTTGCACAATAGCGACACGCTGCGCAGCATCTATTACATAGATTCGGTGAGCAAGCATTCCAATCGCATTGACTACATGCGTCAGACCAGACTACAGGACCCATTTGTCATGCTGTCCTGGCGATGCAAGCAGCTCGAGGAGATTGTCGTACACGGCTACACCATGGATCCACACAATCTGCTCGGCATTGCACGGCTGCGCGGTCGCCAGCTGCGTCGTCTAGAAGTATCTCAAATCGACTGGGAGCCCAACGTCGCAGCGCAGCCCGTTTTTAATCAGGTGAGTGGCTGAGATTTATGCCTGTGTTCACCTGTGTCTGACTGATTGTTTGCAGGAAATGTGCTCGTTGTTGGGACAACAATGGAGGCCACTTGAGCCGGAGCAGTTGCCAAGCGAAGGCTATGGCCCTGTCGACTATGATGTGCGCGATAAGTATGTTTTTGAATTAATGCGAAAGGATCTGAACCATTAAAGCACAAATCAACCAAAAATCGAATAAAGCAACGTCATGCAACAGCAACAACAACAACAACAACAACAAAAACACGACTCACAATATAATACAACATGACACGTGATCAAATCGAGCGCATAGAAATTTGTAGCGTTTAGTAAACTTTTATGTAGGCAACTAAAAAAAAAACAAAAACAAAAAGCAAACCCTAAAAGGAAAAGCGATCAATTGACTTTTCTGTTAAGTTAAATAAAACGATTTTTGATAGATAATAATAACAAGAACCGTAAACAGTTATAAAATTGGCAAGCCTTTATACAACTTACAATTTTCTTTCGTATGTTAAACAATGTAAACTTAAAATTAAATTTTGTTCGGCCACACAGCAAATATGAAAGCAAGAAACGGCATAAAAGACTTGAGAAAAATGTAAACGAATTGTAAACAAAAAACCAACAAAAATAACGGGCAGTTTGTTGTAAAAAAAAAAAACCAAGTAGAACAACAACAAACAGCGACAAAAATAAGATAGGTAGAGAGTGAGGGAATGAGGAAAGATAAACATCATTTTATAAGCAACAACAACTGTGATTTAAACAAAATGCAAGCAAGCAAAAGTAAAGCCAGTTACAGCAGCGGCAGCAACAACAACAACAACCAATTGTTAAGCAAATTGTCTAGTTAGCTAAGTAAAATATTAAAAAAACATTTAAGAAAAACAACAAAAAAAAAAAAAACAAACGTGTTAAAAAATGATTGTAAACCAAGCAAAAACACACACACAAAAAAGAAAGACCAATGTCAAATTGTTAGCTCAATCAATTGGCAAAAAAAAAAAGAAACAAAAATTGTTAACTTTTGTAATATGAGAATATGTAATGTAAAGTTGGCGCTCAATTGTGATAGAACAACAACAACAAACAGAACAAATGTAACAACAACAGCCAACAGATCGCACACAATCCGATCCGATGGTCGTTTTCGTACGCCAAGCGCCGCCATTTGTGTAGTTTTCCAAAGTGATATTAGCAGCTTATGTAAAGCAACAATTAACAAATGCATATTGTAAACAACACACGTCTGTGTATATACATATATTTAATAATGTAAGACATATGTATATTTGTTGAATGGCGTGTGTTGTCAACTTGTTAAGCGAGACATGCGTTAGCCAGAATTGTAAACAATACCAATTCAAAACCCGTCAAAACCGATTCAATCAAATCGTAACACTCGAGTATTTCGTATTTTCGTAGCAACAGGCATTCATTTATACAATAACAACTAATATAGTTTACTTATGTTTGCACAAAAAAACAAAACAAAATGCAGCGCAGTTAGTATACAAACAAAACTGTTGTCAGGACAATTGCCCCTAGGCATACAAGCACCAGCAGCTGAGCAGCTAGGCCTAAAATATATAAAAACATAAATGGTACCTGAAGATCACTTTGAGCATTTACGCGAACAACTCACAAAGAACTTTGCTCAAATTAAGCTAACAAACAAAACAAAATAAAAACAAATCTATTAAATGAAATAAACGAAAGACTGAACAAAAGCGTTGCAAAGCTCAGCGAGGGGCAGTTGTCCAAAAAGTTACCAAAAATCCAGCAGCAACAGCAGATTCAAAACAAATGCGATCTCAAAGACAACACTGAACACTATCCAACCATATGTGTTATATATATACATATATAACTAACAACAACTTAAAGCTATGCATGTATTTTTGTTATAAACTTCAATAGCGAATATTAATTTATAAAAGAGATACAAAAGAGTGCAAATCATGTGTAATAAGAAGCAATCGTCAATGTGTATGTGTATGTGTGTGTGTGTGTACAACACAAACAACAACAACCACAATGTTATTTAGTTAAGCCTAGTACATACCAACAACAACAACAACAACAACTAAATGTGATAAACGTGTCATGCTGCTTCCAATAACAACAACAACAACAAGAACAACAACAACAGCACCAAAGAAAACACATGAATCTATAAAGAAAACGCAACTGTTCCAAGCTATTCCCTTAAAAAGAAAATTCTATTAAATATGCTACGTAGCAAATTGTCAATAATTGTAGCTTAACAAAATTTGCAGAACTTCTATTGTTTAACAATCCATTCAAGTATTACAATTTATACACGCAAACTGCAAACACTTCCAACGCTGCGTATGTGTAACATTTTATTTTGTATACAAAAAGAACACAACAACAACAAAAAAACAGAATAAGTCTATATTTTATATGCCATTTATTGTATTTAAAATTTCGAAAAGAAAACAACAACTTTTTGTAAATCATTCCATACACAAATTAAGCTAACGTATGTATTAGAAAAAGAAGAAGAAGAAGAAAAAACAACAGCAAGCAGCAAAAGAACAACAGGAGACGGAAGTAAGGAACAGAAGGGCATCTTAGAATAGAAAACAAGAACAACAAGAAACAGCCGTGCATTATGAACAACAACAAATTATATATATATGCAAGTTATGCTTAAAGATAACATAAGAGCAAAAGTGTATAGAAGAAAGCTGTGATAACAAAAAGGCAAACAACAAAATAACACGACAACAACAAACAACAAAGGGAAGAAGGAGAACTTAAAGTACACAAAGCCAATGCGAAACATATGCGACCAACCAAAGGTTAACAACAAAACTTTTGCAAACAACAAAAAAAAACAAAAAAACAAAAACAAAAAGCAAGTAACGAAAACCAACAAAAATCAGTAAGTGAAAACGTTTAAGAACAAGTTGAAAGCAGAACGGCCAAAAAGAGAAAGTCGCTGGTTCTAAGTTTATATGAAATATGCAAAATAGTTAACGTTAGCGAATGAACGTAGAAAGCTAGAAAACAATTAAATGAGCACAAGATTATAGGAAAACTTTTCAAAATGAAAGTGAAAACTTGAGAAAATGTATGTGAAAACTTCAGAAAATGCATGTGAAAACTGAAGTGTTTGAGCAGAAAAAAAGGCAAAAAAAAAAAGCCCCCCATAACAAATAACTATGCTAATGGGCATGCAATTATTTAAACTATTTCAATAACTTAAAGAAAATGCATTATTTTATTTGCTAGCCTTTTTCAGTTTGGCAAAGAATTGTAAGCTTCTTTGTGGCATATGCAATATCATAAATCTAAGCAAGTTACACAAGAAAAACCAATTTATGACAAAAACAAACAACAAAATTTGACAGTAGCAATGGAAAAATGTATTTAAAACGAAAATCTAATAAAAATCAATAAACAACGTTCAAAAAGTTAACAAGATGCTTTTGCTTGAAGCATATATTGGAATCTATAAAAAATAAAAAAAAAATTTATATATAATCATCTGTGCAATATGAAATTCTCAGTTAAAAATATTTGATCAAAGGCACTTGACTATGCATAAGCAAATTAATTTATTATATTATTATTATGAACAACTTGATAAGAATTAATTGCAGCTTCTTTCAGCAGAGGAGTATTTGTTTGTCAGATTGTGGATATTGTGGAAGTTGAAATTGCTGGATTATTGTCATTGTAGATCAACCTTCAAGCTATCAGCTGTAGCACAGGTAAAGGTAGTCTTTGGCTAATACAAAACTTTATCCATACACTAGTCTAGGCCGAGGACTGCGTCAAGGTACTCTACAGACTCTAGCTTCCATCTGATAAAGGTAAGTCCGATTCTCTATTGTGCTGATACACATATATGTATATAGACTTCGGCTTAGCTTTATCCATCTCAGTATAGAGATTCAACTCATCTACCAAGGACTGCGTCAAGGGATTCCAAAGTTTCTAGCTTCCATCTGATAAAGGTAAGTTCGATTTCCTATTCTGCTGATACACATATATATAGACTTCGACTTAGCTTTATCCATCTCAGTATAGAGATTCAACTCATCTACCAAGGACTGCGTCAAGGGATTATAGGAATCTAGCTTCCATCTGATAAAGGTTAGTCCGATTTGCTGATACACATATATATATATATATATATATAGTCTTCGGCTTAGCTTTATCCATACACTATACTGGGAGTCAACTCTTCTACCAAGAACTGCGTCAAGGTACTCTACAGACTCTAGCTTCCATCCGATAAAGGTAGGTCCGATTCCCTATTGTGCTGACGCACATACATTCACAATTTGCATACCTATATTCGCGATAAAAACAATCAACATACATAAACAAAAGAGAGAATAATAGCATTAATAACCCGCATGAGGTAAAGTTATGGCCGTGCTGGATAATGAATATGAGAGATAAGCCACGCCTCTGCCGCCCCCTGTGACAGGCGTTGCAATATATGTATTTGATTGCCTACTTCAGGGCGCCAGCAGCAGCAGCTGTTACACAATCAAAACATCAACAAAAGGCGCACCCAGCACACGCACACACACACACACACACACATTAAGTTGGTAAATACTTCCGCTTGCTGCGCGCAGACGCAGAATCCGTGAGCTTTTTTCAGTCCTTGAACTTTTGACCTTGTTTTTGTATTTTTCTCCGGCTTTCGATGTTATGTAAGCGGCAGCAGCTGCGTTATGCAACACGGCGCACGTCGCTAGCAAATTGCAGTGCGTCTACACAGTGCCTGTGCAACTGTATGGCAGTTGGCGTGTTGATAAGACGCATTTAGCCGGCATTTGGGCCCAGAGATAGCGACTGTGTGAATGTGAATTGAATGACTGGGCGAAACTTATCTAGAAATTGGCCACATTTGTTTGGTCAGACAGACGGACGGAACGGATGTTATAAAAGAAAGACGTAGCTGTCGTCAGCATACGGGTTATAGAAATATGATATACATCTGATTCGTAACGCAAGGCTGAAGCTAGTTAGAATTAGAAGCTAATTCTAACGTTCTCTAGCCTAAGTACGTTCAAATAGCGCACAGTTTGGGCGGCACTGACAGCACGCTGTGCTGCTCAAACTGTTAGCGCAAAGCTCTTCAATACATTGTATCCATACCCATTATATAATGTTTGAAAAGGGGGTATTACTTGTCAGTATGAACAGACACCTCGTCATGTCCATCGGGAACTATATGATGCAGAGACTAAAGCTTTGGACTGTATAGGGTATCAAAATTTGTCGATTTTTAGCACTAGTTAAGCCAAAGACACGAAATTTCGCATTCAAATTAACGTATAACACAGATGAAAACCCAAGCATTCTCTCTATACGACTTACCCACTCCACCCTCATTGAAAAGTAAGCCCTATAGGCCTTCATTCACACTCTATCTTAAGGATGCACAGAAGTTATGCATTTTTTTAAAGTGGTGAAAGAGGATCAGTTGCTGTGAAATGCATTTTATGACAACCTGCAGCTGACTACAGGGTATTGCCTAGTCGCGACCAGCGCTGCTTTTATTTATTTGTATCGATCATGGTAGCCTTTTGGCTGCAATTTGCGCTCTAGTCTAGTGACACACACACCAAGAAGCATCGAATATTTCAGGCATAACGTAAGCGATGCATGAGTAATGTCAGCTATCACAGCAAAGAGTATATTTTATAGAGTATATATCAACACACACACACACACACTCAAGTTGTGTGAAAAAACGCAGAAGGAAAGCTTCGCTGCAGCAGCCGCTAGGAGCGCCACAGCGAGAGCGAGAGAGAGAGAGAGGGAACAGTTCGAGCGTCTGCGCGTGCTCTCACTGACGCACACACACACACACACACTCTCTCGCTCTTGATAGCTCACTCTCTTTCGCTCTATGGGTCGCTGTCGCCTCGGCGGTTGAGCAGTCGATTTTTGCACAGTCGAAAAATTGTAAGCAGCAATCAACAGCAAACTGGGAACACAAGAAGCGAAGCAAGCACAAAAAAAAAAAAAAACTGTAAAACTGAAGAAAAAACCGTTGCATGAAATTTGCTAGTAAAATTCAAAGACGCGTGTTTTTTTTGAACAAGTGTGCTTGCGACTAAAAAATTATTGCATATTTTGTTAGCTGTGGCTGCCGCTGCATTTAAAAACGAACCCACATTTTGATACCTTTTACGAGCAGCTACTTGGCTCATATATATATATATACCCTAACCCAACGTTAACGGTGCTAAACAAAAAGAACTCGGCTAGCTGCTTTATTAACTAGCACAAAAGGTGAGTGCACGCAGCGTGTGTTGCATGCAACATGAACATGCAACGGCAATGTCTGTCAAATTTATGAGTTTTCAATTCGCGCGCTCCCTCTCTCTCTCTCTCTCTTGCAGCCGCCGTGACGTAACTGTCAGTGTATGTGTGTCTGTGTGCGTGCTTTAAATATTGCTCATACGCCGCGTTGCCTAGAAAAACAAACACTACAGCAGCGCCACATCTTTTGCATGCATTTAAATAATAATAAAGCACGGCATGCTGTAAATTGAAAGTTCTCACATTTTGAGACAGGCGCCTGCAAAAGCTGTCCAAGCTATTGAAATCAATTGGCATCTTTGGCCAATTGCCCGAAAGACGCGGCGGCACTCACGTGTGTCGTCTGTGTGCATGCATTTTGGTCATTTAATTGGCAAGCGACTAGCTCACACACACACACACACGCACACTCACTCGCAATCAGTTGTTTATAAATAACTTTTGTGTGTATTTGTGCATAAACAATGCCGGTATTTGCCGCCGCAAATGTTTGCCTGCTTTTGGCTTTAATTGCGACTCTGAACTGTTTATTTAATTATTCTTTTTTTCTTTTTGTATTGTTGTTGTTGTTTCTAGCAACAATTTGACATTGCATAAGACAAAGCGCCGGTTCAGATCAATGCAATTGCACTTAGTCAGCTAATTGTGCGATTTAGTTGTGTCAACAACACTATTATTAACCTGTTTTCATCTCTCGTCATTTACAGCAAAAAAAAAAAACTACAACAACAAAAGATGTTTGCATTGTGGTATCTAACGTTCGCCGTTGACGAAATACGGTAAGTTCTTAACAGTTTGACAGGCACTGCTGCCAATAGTGGAACACTTTGGGCTGCATACTTTTAGGCAGCGCGTTAAGCTATGTAAACATTGCCTGGGGTTGTGGGGTCAACTGTCATTTGTTTGTTTAGGGCGCGTTGCCAGTGTGCTTTGTTTATTTACCGTTACACACAAGTGTTACTTAACAGCTTGGGGGCGTAACAGTCGGCTGCTAAATCTGCGAGCTGTTAACGTTACAGTTAACAGGATTACAGCAGCATTTAATTTAATTTAATTATTATGGACAGCGACAAAAAACCGCAAATAGCTTATCTAATCGAAAACAAAAAAAAAAAAACGTTGTAAAAACACAAATTGTAGTCTGTCGCCTAGTTTTGTGCATTTATTGGTTTTGTGAATGGTTTAGAGGGAAAGCATGCATTTAGCAAAAAAAAAAGCCAACGTCACATGATAATTTGTTTTTTTTTTTGGTTTCAACAAGAAATCAAGCAATAAACGCAATCTGCACACAATCTCGAGCAACCGGCTTTTTGGTTTTTGGCCGGCTCTTGATGATAAGTGCAATTAGCGACAGCCACAAACACACGCTCGATTTGAAAGCCCGGCGAAATTTGCGAATTTGCTGAAAAGGAAAAAAAATAAATGTGTTTCGGTATCTTCTTCTTGGCCTTTGGCGTTTATTATCTAAGCTCTGGGCCTTTGCTTAATTAGCAAAAATAATAATGTGATAATTGAAATTTGAAGCATTCGCATCCATTTCATTTACCAGCTGTGTAGCAAAGTCGAGGGCGTATACGTAATGTCGAGGTACTTAGCGTCTGTATTTGTTTGCTTATCTATTTGCCGTACACGAGTTTTGTATCATTTGTGGCGTACGTGACAATAGGAAAGCTTATGCCGGCGAAAGTTATTGTCCAAATCTACACATTCTCATTGCCTACTACCCCTAATACACTAGACATATTGGGGGTATGTAAATTCCCAAGCTATTGGCCTGTGTAGCGAAGCGTAAACCCATTTCCTGCATTCTCAATAGACTTGGCACAGTTTAATTTAAATCAGTTAAAATTTTAGCGTTAGTTTATTTCCACCAAATGCCCTAACTAGACTTCCAATTTTCCTTACCTTGTCATAAAATCATTTCAAATAGGCAATTTCTGTTAATAATTTGATAACGTACATAATTTTGAATTTATGCGGTATTTATTCTGGTTTTTGTAAGCTCTGGCAACTCCTGCTCCTGTTTACTGTAATTTAGCATTACGGCATTGCCTAATTCAGCACTTAACATACATATATACATACATTTGTTTTGCAGCAAAGATGAAATTTGCTAGATTTTATTAACATTATTTTATTAACATTATGTTATTACACTGTAAATCATAGGCTCACACTGCCTGAGAGCGTTGCCATCTTGTCCTTTGATCAATTTAATTGGGGTCACACTCTTTTTCATTTCGTTTCTCTCTTTTCGCGCGTGTCTTTGCCAAGCTCAGATTGCAATTTCGTGTTGGTGCATTAAACGAGTTAGTTTAAACAATTGCAAATTGTTTATTAGTCCAATTATTGTTTATTTACTGTTACAAATAATTATGGTGAGTGAATTACAATGAAAAATAGCCAAAATGCTTGCGGCAAAGCCGTAGAAAGTTCTGGCAAAGTACATTGAAATGCGAAGAAGAAGAAGAAGACTGACGCCACACTTTTTGCCGCTTGATTTTATTTAAGCACTTTTATCTTTTAATTCCTTTTTGAACTTTTTGTTGTAATTTATATTGTTTACTTAGCAATTTTATTTATTTTCCTTTTGTTGCTTTTTGTTTTTGTAGAAAGCGTTTGGCCTGGCTTTTTAGTTCCAATAAGCCAGCGCAGCCAGCGTTAGAAAACAAACCGACGCCCGCAGCCGCGCCCACACCTGCTCCTGCCCCAGCACCTGCACCTGCACCGACTGCAAAACCTAGCCCAGCCGCAACCTCGTTAAAGCCTGCAGCAGCACCTGCCGCTGTTCCATCGAAACCAGAACCGCCGAAACCTGCAACTCCTGCGCCGCCTGCAGCTCCAGCAGTAGCTCCTGTGGTTGCACCAAAGCCAACGCCTGCACCCAGCGTTCCTGCGCCCGCACCAGCACCGGCACCGACACCGGCACCAAGCACTCCTGCAACTACAGCCAAAGCGGCAGTTGCAGACGCAGGCGACAAGATGCCAATTCCTTTGCCCAAATCCTTGACCGAGTCGAATGGCACGGCAACCAATGGCAACGGTGTCGTCCATGACGGTCCGGACAATCAGCTCTTCGATGCACAGCTGCCGACCAGCAAGGGGCTAAAGGTCGACAAGGAGCAGCTAAAGGATGCCAGCCAGGATTTCATCAAAGGCGAGGCCAATGCCTTTGTGCAGTCCATCAAGGAGGCGCAGCAGGCGGGCAACCGGTAAGCTTCAACCGCACGCGTGCATAATTTCATTTCAAATTCGTTTAGTTTTTGTTAGCCTCGTATTTTAAGCTGTTTCATTTTGTTTTTAATTAGTTTTCGCGCGCGACAACTTCCGCATGGCATCTCGGCAACTCTTCGCGGGCGGGTTCAACGAACTCCGTTGACTTCTTGTCGCTAAAATAGTTGCCATGTGGCGACAGCCTCAAACGTTGCTGTTGCAGCACAAAAAATATATATCTGGCTGTAATAATGCACCGCTTCATCATCATGATGATGATCGTGATGATGATGATGTTGGTGACGATGACGCTGTTTATTTTAGTTTCATGTTCTGTGCTTGGGCGGACAGCTCTTGGCAACTGGCGTCAACTGCCTCTGTGCTGCGCTGCGGTTGCAGTTTTTATTCTTAGGTATATTGTATACCCTGTACACGTCTTGCAAATGCCTTTGATAGGCATAAAGAGGCAGCTACCCCATGCAGTATTTATATTCTCAATAACTCGAAGATGTATATTCTCTGTTTGTGTATACCCTGTACACGTCTTGCAAATGCCTTTGATAGGCATAAAGAATGCAGTATTTATATTCTCAATAACTCGAAGATATATATTCTCTGTTTCTGTATACCCTATACACATTTGTGCTAGTGACTGTGATAGGCATAAAGAGGCAGCTACCCCATGCAGTATTTATATTCTCAATAACTCAAAGATATATTCTCTGTTTCGATAACAATTGTAATAAAGAGCATAAGAGCAATTGGCATAAAGAGGCAGCTACCCCATGCAGTATTTATATTCTCAATAACTCGAAGATATATTCTCTGTTCCTATAACAATTGTAATTTCTCAGTTATCATTTAAGGAAGAGGCCTATGTTCCAGGAGCTGTCTATAGGCAATCTTCCAAGTCGTGCACTCTTCACTCTTTTTATGAGGAATCTTTAGGGCCACGTCCCCTGTGCTTGTCGCATCTGGCTAAACCCGTAATGAAAACATTTATCGCCTCTAATTGCTCGCAATTGATTTTCCATTAATATTAATGGAACCTTGCACGCAAGCCTTGCACTTGCCAGGTGGCTCAAGGATGTGGCCCAATCACGACACAGAGACGGAGAGGGAGACAGTGAGAGAGTTTTGGCCTTTTGGCAACTCGCCCACGTTAAATTTTTAAATGAAAAACTGAGAAAACACCGCACTCTGCCTATGTAATGCAGTGCGGCTCGGTGTACGATTTTGTCGCCTGTCGTCCGGGTCACATGATCTCCCCCATGCCGAGTTTATATTTAAACGTGCATGGAGCAACGATTGTCGCCGGGCAACAAAATAATTTACTTGGATTTATACAAAATACACTCTAACCGAGGGTGCCATGAATTTATCGCCACGTTTGTAACGCACATAGAAATATTCTAGATAGGAATAGAAACTGTCTACTTGCCAAGGAACTAGTCAAACTGTTCTCTTAGCCTTAAAGCCATAGATATAGCCAACCTATATGATTGACGGCTCGATATAGCGAGTGGGTCACTATATCATATAGCTTTCATAGGAACTATCGGTTAAATAGTTTTTGTAGACATATTTGCTCAAGATATTCTTACCAAGTTCTTCAATTACAAACTATTCTAGTATTCTAGTTTTTTCTCGAAAGGAGACATCTCTACATGTCCCATAAAGAATATATATATTCTTGATCAGCATCAACAAGCGGGTCGCTATAGCCATATACGTCCGTCTATCTGTCTGTTTCTATGCGAACAAATCTCTCGGTTTTAATGCTATCTTCATGAATCTTTGCATACTTTCCTCTTTCTGTTTGACGCAGTAGTTATGTCGGAACCGGCTGGAACTGACCACTATATCAATTAGCTGTCATGGGAAAGATCGGTCGACAAGTAGGTTCTTGTATGAAAAACTTTTTTGTTTATCAAGATATCTTGACCAAACTTGGCAGTTAATAGTTTTACCATGCGCCTCATATATATTTTAAATCCTATCCACATCGGAGCACTATATCATGTAGCTGTCATAGGAACGATCGGTCGGAAATTAAGTTCTTGTATAGAAAACTTTTTTGTTTTTGAAGATATCCTCACCAAACTCGGAATATACTAGTATAATCATGTCTATTTCATATAAGCAAAATCTTGTCAAGATTAGACTACCTTAGCATGTGTCTAAATAGGAAAGATCTGTTCGAATACATAGAGCCAATCCCTAGAGAACCCAGTTGTGTGCCTGCAAGCGTATATAAACTTCGGCACAGTTTGAGAATTATTTGTTGTTGTTTATTTTTACAGTACCTTGTTTTAAATTTTACTTATGATGTGTGTGCGGCAAATTGGCTGTGCAACGTTGCAGCAGCTTGCCTCCTGCACAGCGCTCTGGCTTAAATTTAGATAGATGTATACATATAATACTACACATTATCTTTATATATATATATATATATTGTACAGAACTAGTCCGTTGGCGTCATGCCTCATCTCTAATTGCTAGAGTTCGCTTTTGTGCGGCTGATGGACAGTGTCCGTCATTTGGATGCTGAAAAAGTCGCTTGGGTCGGTGGTTGCTTCATTTGACGTTAATGTATAATCCCCCTATATATATATACATATACATATATCTATATAGATATATGTATTTGGTACGATTTTTTGGCACACGCGTTTGCAAATTGCTTTTGGCAAGCGACGCTTTTGAAGTGCTGCCAAAATATTGTTTAGCAAACAAACAAAGGCAGCGAAAATCGTATGACAACATATGCGCCGAGCTTTTAGCAGGTTGTATATCCGAAAAAGATCTATAATATAATATATCGTAACTGTTGCATGGAATAGCCGCAACTGTGTTTCACACAAATGCTGTCTAATTGCCTGGAAAGTGAGAGCATTAATTGAACTCGTGCCTGGCTGCCCGCAAATTGAACTAATTAATAACACATTGCCCAAATGATTTACTAAATATTTTTTCTTTTTTTTGGGCATATTCACTTCCCTCTTTTGCCAGCCGTATTTTCACTCACTCAGTGATTCAATTGTGCAAACAATCGCCAGTCTTCTTATGCAATTCATATTTCAAGTTCACGAGTGTTGCTGGCACGCCCAACGCACCGCACCCAGCTGAACTTTGGGGCATGCAAAATGCACTGACAAACAGCTGAAATGTGAGCACAACTAGAAAAAACTTAATTCTTACCAAATTTCAATACTATATTTGTAATATTTAATATGCGCACAAAAGGCAGGGCGCTCAACTCCTATCAAAACAGTTTTCTGTACGATCTTAAGGAGAACAATTAAACCATTTTATATATACTCTATAGTTCCTATAAAGCACTTGCTACAAATTTACAACTTTATTACGTCCTTTTATAGACTATTTAAAAGATTAAGTGCTATAAAGAACGTGCGGTTAGTGATAAAGTGCCTAGCACATATAGAAAGAATCGCGAATCCATTGAATCAAATGAGTCATTTCAGTTTGTTTAATGAGTACTATAAGTATTGCGTGTATATAGAAAAGTACTTTGTGTCTAAGTTTGCCGCATGCTAAGTGCTTGCTTAACTACATGTCAAAAGTGCCTGCCAGCTGTAGCAATAGAGCCACATTGTCGTCAGCTTTTCAAGGTCGATGCCAACCCCCTGCGAAAGTATACGCATGTGTCTGTATTGGTATTCCTGTATGTGCATGTATATGTATTTGTTGTTGACGATTTTGGTGTAGAACATCTATTGTTCGAGGCGGGCCGCCTTGAAAGCTGCTGGGATTTACGTAATCTCAGCGCCACTTGAGCAGCAATTGAAAACGAAAGCGAAAAAAAAATATAAAAAAATGGGGAAAATGGGGAAAATAAAACTGAGGTTATGTAATGAACATCCTGTGGCTGTGGCCTGAGCAAATAATATCTTGGATTTCATTTTGGCACAATTAATATAATTAATTTAATTTGTGCGCCACGTTGCCACAAAAGCAAAAGTTCTTTTGAAAACAACAAATTAAGCATATAAAGATATATAGATGGCAAAAATATAATGCTAGCTGTTATCTTTGTTTTTTTTTTTTGATATTGTTTTTGCGGCTTGTTGCATAAAATTCGTTGGCAACTGTTCAAATATGTATGTGGATATTTTATATATTTTGCTCGTCTCAACAGCTAAAATATGTTTTATACAACAATATCTAGAACTGTCTGTTTTTCTATCTGATGTTTATAATTCAGGCAGCTTGCCTTTGCCTTTTTCTCATATATATATATATATATACATAGTATAAAAGCAGCTATATCTAAAGGCAACATTTTCTTTTTCAAAATCAAGTTCAAGATTTTAGCTAAAACTTTTCGATATAATTCAAATATACAATTTTATGCGTATTTTGAATTTATTATGCCTCTGTTAAATGGCCTGAATAGTTGCTTAATTTTACAAAAAATTTGTTAAAACATGATTTCTTTATTTTCATTTCTGTTCTCTATATAGAGTCAAGTTCTCAGCTGACTAAGTTTCCTGTTTGTCTTTTATAATACCGTCTCTATATATTATATTGTTTCTTTTTTTCAAAATTTCATTATTTTATGTGCCAAAAATATATTGTGGTACGTTGTTGTAATATGTGTTCATATTTCTAATGAAAATGTAGAATGTGCGATTCTGGCACGTCTTCAAAAGTCGCTGTTCCCAACAAACTGTTCCCAGCACTGTTCCCACTGCGATCACATTTGTGCCAGGCTTTTATTTCGCAGCTCAGCTTATTTGCATTGAGTAAATATTTACACTTATTGCCAGTTGAAAAAAAAGTGCGCAAATATAAACAAATGTGGTTGTGTTGGTTTTTTTTAGTTGTGCCCTGGGAACAATAAATTTCGATTAACTTTGATTACTTTCGTCAGGTTTGTCACGGGCGCAGCCCTATAACAACTACTCATTGAGGCGAGTGTCGCTATAAATTAAATGTAAATATGTATGTGTTAGTGTTCCTCAATAATTAAGTAATG